GACGGCCGATCCCTCCCACCTGTGACGGGGGGGAGGCGTCAGCGGTAACGTCACGGGGTGTGCCGTGGCGCTTCGGGCTGCCGGGGCCACGCAAGAGTTAGCGTCAGTTCCTCCTGTGCGGGGTATCTTACCGCGTTCAGCCACGTCTGTTGTGCTGCCAGCCAAGACACTGCGTGTAGAGCTGTGAACCTGTGAACTACCGCTGAGCGCGTTGAGTTGCAGGTGGTAGTTGGGCTTATGGGGTGGGTTTGTGGCAGTTCTAAAAGGATGATGCTTCACTTATAAATCAGAATTCCTCCTTCCCCTCTTCCACACTGGCTACAAGTGAGAAGCCCTTCCCGTGCTGTGTCGAGTTGGGTGCAAGCTGCCCTCAGCGCTGCTCAGCAGCAGCTGGCTCCTTCCTGTGCCTTGGCAGTTCTCCCCCTGCCTGGGGTTTTTAAGTAATAGTGCATCAGTTTGGCTTTAGGAGACTTGGAAATACGAGCTTATGGTCATTAAATTGATGTAGAGATTTGTACAACTGGAAGGATCCTTGGAGAAGCAGAGCATTGACTGATACCACTTAAGGATGACTTGAAGGTTCTCTTGGGGTAACTGGTAGGAAATGATCTATGTGAGAGTGAAGAAGTTCCAAAAGCTTGTAAGTAATAAACTCCATGCAGTCAGGTACTTGGTGTCTCTTGGAACTATCAACCGGGCAACTGAGACATGTTACTATCAAGTGGGAGGTGCTTAGAGGTACCACTGAGGAACTGAACATGTTGAGAGCCAAGCACCTTGCAGGATCAGATGTGGAAGGTGAGGAGGAAAGCAGCAGTGGTGTGTGCTTGCCTTGGAATAAAAGAAAGACCTATGCTTCAGCTTTCCTTTTGGGATTTGGGTAGATTTCCAGGTGACACATGTCACACTGCAGGACAGCCAGGTGCTGGCTTTTCTGGCCTGCCTCTGACTGATTGCCATGCTCCCAGTTAACAGCGGGTGGCTTTGCTCCCTTGCTTTGAGCTGGAAAGCCACCGAGGTTTGGGAGTGAGGAAGTATGCAAAGGTTGGAGCTGATTTCTATTAATTGCCCTATGGTAGGACTGTGTTGGCTTAAAAAAGAAAACCAGCCTGTAAACAGAATATTTTGGCTGCTGAACTATAGTATTAAATTAACTTCCTGCTGGTTTTACTTCTTAAAGCTTTGTTAATCTTCAGCCAAAAGCTGTAAGGAATGGGGTGCATAACATGCACAGAAAGGGTATTACACTGGTATTTAGCAGAAGGGCCAAAGACCAAGCTCTTGACCCAAGAAAGTATGTAGTGTGTTTGTTCCCTCTGCTCTGCGGTGCTTGCTGCAGTTGCCCGCGCAGCATAACATCAGGTTTACTGCTTCTGGAACCAGAGCTAGCCACACTGTTCCTGGTGTGGTTTTTGTCACCCTGTTTGGGTGTTACCTGATGGTTTTATACAGCCCCTTGCAGGTATTCAGTGTGGGTCAGGCCAGGAAAACACCACTGAAGGAATGAAATGAAAACTGTTGCTGATCAGTGGTGTTCTGTGTGTGAGCCTCCAACTGTTCAACTTCTGCAAACTTTTTTCCCATGTCTCTTAAGGGCATATTGCAAGAAGGCAACATGTCTCAGAAAGTGAATATTAATATGTATACACACATATTTCAAATTAAAATTACAGCTTAAAGAGGGTGATTTTTGAGAAATAAGCAAAGCTGTAGGGTTGTGTAGGTTTGGCGTTTATTTTTGTTGTTGTTTTAAATCCCTTTCACCTTTGCCAGATTTTGTTGTTGTGGTTAAGCAGGAAGTCTTCTGTTTCTGTGAAGTTTGTTGGTTTGGGGTTTCTTTTTCTTTCCCTTTTCTACTGCTAGGGAAGGATCCACAAACTGGCTAACAAGTAGGAGAGGAAACACAGTGTTTGGAGTCAGATGGGAAATTACTCTGATAAAATGCAAGAATCCATTACGCTCTGTTGTCTCTATAGTATTACGTGTTATTACTTGTAAGAAAAAGAGATAACTTGATTTCTGAAAGAATGTTTCAACTTCCAGTGTTTAAATACCGTACAATTGCAGAATAAGCTCACTCAAGAAGGCATACACGGTCACTTAGAAATACCCAGGAACATGTCAGTGGAGTGATGGCACAAAACACTGGTAAATGCAGAGGATAGTGCGTGAAGACAAGATCCAAAGTTCACCATCTTGTGGGCTTTTTTACCCTTACTCTTTTCCTGGACCCTGCATGGTAGCATTTAAGTCTTGTAACTTCACCAAAAGCTGCAAAGGGGTGGGCACTGGGTGGGCATGTCTTTTGAGGAATGAGAAGGCGGCAGTAGTCAGTTCCTTCCTTCATGGCACACCTCAGCCAAGGGCCCTTCAGATTGCCTGACGGGAAGCACATCGGCAAGCCTGTCACTGCCAACTTGGACAGAAGTCAAGCTGACTTCAGTGGTACTGTGTTTGCTGCACAATGGTGTGTGTATGCTGCTCCTGAAAAAGGGCTACCTCTGCTTTCTTCTCACCCCTAGAAGCTGTTAGCTCATATTTAGGCCAGACTACTAAGAGGTTTGGATTGATCCAGGCCTCGGCAGACCAAGACCTGGTAGTGCTCTCTGCCAGGCCTCTCTCCCCTTTGTCCCAAGGCTGCTGTTTCTTATGGGGAGGTGGAAAGGGCTGACTTCGGCCCCTTGTGAGATCCTGCCTGTCCGTTCCTCCTGCTATGGATCCAACTGACTTCTTGCAGATTCTCCCTTAGCTGCCCCATTCATTTCAAGATTAGCCAACAGCCCTTGCCTTAAGTGGAAATTGATTCTCTGCATTGGTTTCATTTGCAGGATTTTAAGCTCGAGTTTGGCCATCATCAAGGCAGGACAAGTTCTGTCTGGCATGGAGGTACAGCTACCATTGTTCAGAGCCCTGGAGACGAAGTATGGGGAATAGTGTGGAAAATGAACACTAGCAATTTAAGTTCACTGGATAAGTAGGTGACTTAACTTTTGCTGTCTTCTACTTTAGAGAGCAATTAAAAGTGGTAGTTAATTTTTGGTGAAGAGCTGTGTGGAAGCTTTGGTGTTGGAATCAAGAAAGTGCTTTGGACTTTAATATGTGAATTTCACTTCACAGTATGTGTATCGACTTCTAACACATTTGGGGTTAAAATGGCTTTGTTTTCAACATAGAGCTACTTAGGGGTATTTTAATAAGATGTGGACCTTGATTTGGAGCTGATACATTGGTCAGGCTCCTTTTTTTTCTAACCCCTGACCTCACAATGTCCTGTCCCATAAACGACTCAACTCTCTATTTGTGGTGTAGCACTTCTCCCATTGCTTTAGGGAGAGCTTCTTTTGAGACTGTTGTCAATTTCTGTCTATACATCTGTAGTCTCAAGATGTAGTGAAAAGGAAGGGCTGAAGACAAGACTTTGCAGAAGAGAAGGGGATCTTTAATAAAGGCAGTGGGTCCTTTTGAGGAGTGTATTTTGCATGTCTTCTAAGGATTCAAACTTCTGCGAACTTGAGGTATATCCAAGCACAGAGCTGTTTCTCCCATTGAATGGGGGGGCTTGCCTGCACCATTACAGTGCATGGTGGAGAATGTTCTGCCTGTGACTGATAATTAAAACAAGTTTAAGGCAGTCTGAGCAAGTTGTTCCCAGGCTGAAGTCTAGAGGACCACCTGGGTAAACAAATCAAGGTGTAGCATAATTTCTTGCAGCATCTAAGGCAGGATTTATAACTTAATCTCCAAAATTTTGGCTGGTGTCATGTGTTTATTGCAGCTTTTGGGATGCACCTGCCCAGCACAGTGCTTCTGGTATACAGGGATAGTTTGTCCAGAGCCATCAATTAAATCCAGTAAAACTGTGGGCTTGTGAGGCTAAGAATATTAAAGCAGGGAATATCAAACCCACTGAAAGCACTACATTAATACAGTTCTCCTGTCTGTGGTACTGTTGCAATTTTGGTTGTGGCTGCACTGTGCTGTGTAGACATGTCCTTATAACCTTGGCCATGCAACTTGGAAGTTCCTACTTGTTTTTGGTTGCCTACAGTGAACCTGAAATACACCAGAAACTGTTGCCCAAGTTGTGTTAGCACACCATGGGAATGGGCACTCTTGGCACTCTCACGTCCTGGTTGGGAGCGTTAGTCCCAAGCAGGAGGGCATCTACTTGGTATGCTTATGGTTGGAGAGAGCGTCACATACCCCTGCTTTATGATCTCCTGAGTTCTCCCTTTGTTGTATACACTAGCACTTACCTCCTGCCCCTGTTTCTGCTGACCTTTACAGAAATTTCCCCATTTACCATGGTTTCCTAAAGCGTACACTTTCACCAGGATAAAAAGCCTGTCTGGTAGCATCTGCTTTGATAGTAGCACTGTGTTTCCCCGCTTTATGGGGATGTTGTTTTGTATTTTGACTTCCAGAAGTGTTGTTTAAATACTGTAGAATTGCAGATCCCTGGCATTTGTTTGACAGGGGATAAACTTTAATGCTGGCTAAGATGCCAGAGACTTGAGTGCTGTAACGTCACCAGAAGCTGCAGGATGGACACTAGCATTAAAGAATGCTTTTTTTCCAGCTGCCTCATTGATGTCACAGAGGTGAACTGGAAATGGAAGGAAATAGGATGTGTTCTTGGCTTTTAAAACGTTAGCGGATAGTGTTCTTCTAAGGACTGCTCTAACTAACTCAAATGAGTTTGCATGTGTCCCTGCTGAGGGTCTTGGCATTCCCTGGCTGTGCACAAATGGATATATTTGTAAGTTCTTCACCAAGTTATTTCCTGAAATCTCCATGGGGGAAAAAAAAAATCAGTATTTCCCTCCTTCTTCTTCTTCCCGAATCTGGATAAAGAGGTCTGTGCTTGTTATCCAGAAACAGAGGAAGGAATGTGTAATTGATGCTGCATGTAGTTAGTTGAACTACTAGTAAAACAATGTAATATACAGAAAAGAAATATGGGGGAGGAATCTTTTGCTTAGATGGCTGAACTCTTTGGCTTCAAATGCATTTAGGTGCTGTCTTATCCCCCCCCCCCCCCCCCCTTCACACGGGGGTTACAGACTAAATCATGACTTTTCCTTATACATCATAGCAATTGATCTTTTCTGTAAACATTCCTTTACTGTAACATTTTTCTTGCTCTTCACACCCAATTGACTGACTTTGCAGTCTTTGTAGACCTTGAATCTGTAGTTAGCTTCCAGTATCTACTTAACCTAATTACTCACATAACATGGCCTGTGTTGTGTATGTTAATTGAAATGAAAGATAAGTTGTCAAAATGATATTTTGATGATCGACATTAAAACCCATGTTATCACTCGTATCTAAAGCACATCTAAAGGTGGCTAAATGGTTAAAGACAGCAAGTAGTCTTGGTTTTGAGTTTGGTTTGGTTTTCTGAGACAGCATGGTTTTGCTAATGAAAAAATAACAAAATGGGGTTTCCTCTGATCTAACTCTTTGTTGCTGTGCAAGTCTTGCACAAACTAAAAAGTGTCTTGGATTATTCTTCAGAATGTGCATTGCAAGAGTTGTATGAGTTTCCCCTTATTGAAATGTAACACAAAGAGCAAGATAAAACTGTGCAATTGTTTCATTGTCTGGGCAGAAGGTAATGACCGATATATGCCTGGCTCATTAATTCTGATACTCTTGGTTGTGTTTCTCTTGTAGATTACCAGACTTGCACGGTAATTAATTCACAAGGAGTATTCTCTAACTTTGCAAATCATCTTTCTTACAGAGATAAAATTATGAAAGTGATTGCTGTTGTTGCTGCTTTACAAATATTTTCGCTATGAAACAAGTCTGCACAGGAAGTACTGGAACATGTTTTGCTTTATTTGCTTTAAGTCTGTTAATAGTGCAGACCAGTGTCCTGCTTTGAATTTTGTTATAATAAACGCGTACGTTTAATTGCAAGGTTTGTTTGAAAGATATACCTGATATTTGGCATGAAAGGAATATATGTCCTTTACAGGCAAGAGGGAGTTGAAGCTGGCATTTATGTCCCAATAGAAGTTAATGTCCAGACTCAAGCAGGAGAGGTAGTGACCTGTCGGAGCTACCAGATGCAGGACTATGTCTGTGGTCCCCCTTCTCCTCAGTATAAAAAGGTAGGTATTCCATCACTGTAACTTTGGAAGAATTAATAGAAATACATAATGCAGTACTTCTGTCCTATTTAATAAATATGTTAGTCATGCTTTCCATCCACTGTAAATAAAGATACACCTCGATTCTTGTGCAATCTGTTGCTGTAATGATGCTCACAGAGCATTGCTAGCTCTTAAAGGCTTGCTAAAACAGTTTTACTTTTTGGTTTAGTTGTATCTTGGATGAACCCTCTATTTAACTTGTGAATTAGTTATGACTGACACAAGGATTTCTGAAAGATGCTGTTTATAGATACGCAGCAATTCTCTGTTTGAAAAATTAATGTACTCCACTAAAAGGACAGAGGGAAGCTTCTGTGGGGAGACTACAGCACCTGGCTTATAGTCTCAAGGGCACAGATTATCTTTGTTTTATGAAGTATCTCACTATCATTTAATACAGAAGTCCACCTGCCTTCTTTCAAAAGAGGCATCATCAGTGTATCACAGGACTTCCAGCAACACTGCAGAGCACTGCAGGCTTCCCACTTGATGGCTAGTGAGGCAGAAGTGTTTCAACACTTCTGCAACACACTGGCTCTACGGAGACACATGATCCAGTCACGCAGCAGGCCTGACCTGCGTAGCTTGTGAGATCTGATGTGGGCTTAGCCTCAGGTGGAATGACAGCATGTCTGGAATTATGCAGCTGTTAGCAATTGTAGATGGACATCACGGTGGCGTGCTGACTTTTTCTACCAAAAGCAAAGCTTGAGCTTGTTAAATCCCAAGTGTTCTGCTGCCTTTAACTGCTGTGAATCAGCTTCCAGGAGCATAGCGGAGGCCACAGGACTCTTGAAGAAAAAGCTTGCTTAGAAAGCAGGCTCTGCTGCTTCACAAACCTCCTCCCTACCAACCCACTTCCTTTCAAGACAGATCTTTAGGGCTTTTCAGGGAGTTTCAGTAGTCTGCTGCTGTGTGTCACCTCTCAGTAGCAGGCTGTAAGAGCAGACCTCCAATACTGGGAACTTTATCTAGCTAAGCATTCCCTCCTGCTGTTGTCAGGGTCAGTTGTTAGTTCTCTTCTTCCCCGTGTTCCCAGCTTTTATTTGCTTAAGTTGACCAAGCAAAGGGGCTAAAAATTTAGTACAGGTGGCCGCATCAACGTGCAGTGATCAGCACCCATCTACTGTTGTGCACCTTCTGTGGCAAAGGTCATCCTTTCTGGACAAGTCATCCTTGAATTTCCTGGATGTTGAATGCATGAAATAATATTTACAATAGTGTCAGCTTTTTAAACCTATGTATATATCCACTGGGTGTTTACTGGTCTCTTTCAAGTCTTGGTTCCTACAGTTTCCTCTTTTCTCTCACTGACACTTTTCTCTTGCACCCATGCTTAGGTTTATTTTGTATGTAGAAGGAAAGCTATGGTAAAAAACCCTAAGGAATCTGTGCTTTTTCACTAAACTAAGTATCTGTTTCTGTTACTCCTGCAACCTGTCTAGGTACTCGCCTATGTGGTTTGGATTTGAACAGCCTAGTTTTAAAAATAACTTCAATAATATACACTGCTTCTCACTCAGATACTAAGGCTGGCTAAAGGCATAGAAAGTAGTTCTCATCCTCACTTGAAAGAATGGAATAACTGAATTAACAGCTTAGTTGTACAGTCTTGTGTAATTACTGTTGTGTACTACTTGTACACAAGTAGTACAGAACAGTAGATTATAGAGTACAGCAGCAGAGATTGTGTACTACTTGTGTAACTGTTAAGATTTCAGACTCTTAGGGGTATGTCTTAGTGTAGTTACTAGCCTTTTCAGAGTAATTTTGTTCATACTATTAAGGTCTTCAGTGGTCTTCCAGAAGCCTTTGGCTATCTTTAGGTACAAATAGCATTATTAGTGATTAATTCTCTTGTTACCTTAAGTAGTTCTTCCCATACAAGTAAGTTTGGAGGACTCTGTTGTTCCTAACACTGTTATTGAAGGCTTATTTACTTATTTATCTTTCTTTTCATTATAGGTTATCTGTATGGGTGCAAAACAGAATGGCTTGCCAGCTGACTATCAGAAGAAATTAGAAGCTGTTGAAACTAATAATTATGCAGGGCCAGTGCCAATCATGGAAAAAATTGAAGCTGCTATTAAAGAAAAGGAAAAAAAATCTGCATAGAATACCTCTGCACTTGCTTGGCCATTCACTGTCATTTAGATACCTCTCATCACTCTGCTGATCAGCAGTTTATTTATCTAGGAAAGATGAGTTTGCTCTGCATCTACATCAGACATAATTTGCAGTCTGATGACACACTGACATAGGTAACTTCTTTGCTTTGTATGTATAGCTTGAGTACCTGCTGAAGTTGTTGCAGATTTAGACATTATCTTTCTGTATCTGTCATGCTGTGAATCCTAGTGCATTTGTTTCATGGTTTTGTTTGTCTGTTATACCCCAGATGAACAGACTTGGCCTCTTCCCTACCCCCGGCTTTGACAATGTGCTGCAGAACTGGAAGCTTTTGTAAGGTTTAGAGTACTTATCTTCTATGCTTCATGTCCTGTTTACTGACCTTTTTAAAAGAAAAAGGCCATCTTGATGAGTATATCTGTTGCCTTCTGAGAAGTAAGCGCTGCAGGATCAGGCCCTTTGTTCTTCAGTGTTGTATACACAAACATCAAGACTTTCAAAGATTTGTTAGATGCAAAGTAGACTCAAACTCTAAAACAAGACTAAACTCTTTCCTCTGCTGCTTCTCCTAATGGTTTAAAACCCAAGCTACCTAAAGCTATGGACTTCCTGTTTCTATTATTTCTATCTACTTAAAAAAGGAATATTTTTGTTCTAATTATTTACATGTTTTTAAGTGTTAGTCCAAAAGGCAACCCAGGCCTGAAGACAACATTCAGCAAAGGATCTCATCCAAAGCATAATGGCTGTCTACTTTGTATGCGTAGTAATAGGTTAGGTATAACCAACAAATTTTAAAGAATTCGTTTTAGTTAGGTAATTGTAAGAGGTTTTTTAATGACCTTTTGGACTGGCTTGTTGCTATCTAGGCCTTGCTCTCACGTCCAGCGAAATCGGGAAGTCCCCTGTGAATCCTAGTGCATTTGTTCGTGGTTTTGTTTCTCTGTTATACCCCAGATGAACAGACTTGGCCTCTTCCCCACCCCCAGCTTTGACAATGTGCTGCAGAACTGGAAGCTGTTGTAAGGTTTAGAGCGCTTATCTTCATGGTGCTTGGCTGCCCCTGTAGTTAACCTGTGGGGAACAAGGGGAAACTGACACCTGAAAGATGTCAAACAACTGAACTTTGGTTTATCTTCTGTACAATGTGTTTTGTTGTTTTCCTCTTAATGTACAGAGGGATGTAAGATAATCAGTGTCACTGTGTGACTGCTTAGATAAACAAATGACAAAGTAACATGTCTTCTCTGCATGAACTTTTTCTCTAAACTTCTGGGGATGGATGGGTGCTGTCTTGATGTCATGTATGTGTTTTCAGAGTTGGGCACTGTGTCCTCAGCAAAACAGTACTTCCAGTGTTGGCAACGTCTAGTCTGAAACTGAGTAAATAAAACTGCAGTTACCAAACCTCTCCCTGTCCAGTGCATGCTGCGAGAGTATCAGTGTTGCATATGTAAGTGGAAATTACGTGGAAAGGTAACTGAAACTTCTGTTGGTTATTTGTGGTTTTTAATGGATGTAATTTCAGCATGGAGGGCATGATCATTAATTTGAAGTATTATTTTTCATATATAAAAAATTAAATGAACAGTATGTAGAGGGTGGCTACAACAGAGACTCCCTTTTTACAAGGAGTCGCAAGATGAGGGGTAATGGGCAAAAGCCCCTCCTAGAGGGGTTCTGACTGCACACAAGATTATTTTTTTTTAAGAGCCATTGAAATAATTTCCCCAAGGACGGGCTGGACTCCCCAGCACTGGGCACTTTGAAGATTAGGCTGGACAGGGTGCTGGGATATTTAGTCTAGGTCATGCTTGCTGAGAAAGGTTGGACCAGATGATTCTCAAGGTGCCTTCCAACCTGGGATTCTATAATCAGCACCACTTCTGCTTTACCCTTACCACGCCCAGTTGGGCTTTTGGACTCTTAAATGGGTATTTTACTCCTGCAAGAAAAAAGTGGAAATCAATCTGCTGACAGCCTCCCTGGCGGCTGTTGACAGACGGTGCCTGGTGACTCCTGTTGAGGCAAACAGAGGGAGCTCCTGAGGGCCGGGGAGAGGCCGCGTTCCTTGAGGCGGGACCCCCGGGCCCTCTCGGAGGAGGAGGCCTTCGCCATGCCGGTGTGGGGCGGGAAAGCCGGTGACCGCGACGAGGAGAGGC